TCCGTGAAGCGTAACTGATTTAGTTGCTCGTCGTTGTTATTTCTTCTCAAAAAAGCAATAATATTGTCGCCTAATTTGCTCATCTTGTTTCTTCAAGTTCGGATCAAAACTGGAAAAGCTAGTCCTTTGAAATTTATTCACATGCTGTCCCCCTTTTAAATATTGATTTACCACACTGCTATAAACGTCACTTTTCTTTTTAACTACTCGTTTTCTGCTCATCTTCTCTCAGTCCGCTCCAACTCAGTCTCGACGCATTAAATCCTTTTCTCTTCACTTTCTCGCAGGACGATACGGCGGCTCCGAAAACTCAAAACCGACCCACAGTATAGCTCATTCTACCTGGAACAGTGTGAAGTAGGTGTTAAGATTCCTGGAACAGCGTGAAGTCGATTGATAAGAAGCAAGTTGGAGGATCATGCAAAATGTTAAAGAGAAACGACACTTCCACCACTTTTCCAGAAGAACAGCGAAGAAAAGCGGACAAAGGAACACCGGTAGAGGACTGCAGAACATCAGACTCTTCAGCTTCGTTGGCAATCATGAAGGGTCTTTCCACTGATGTTGATGAAGTGAAGACGCACCACAGTGAGTGTTCAGACGGTTCTGTGACAAAAAGCAAACCCAGGCTAGAAAGCACCATTCTACACTATTTCGTGCTGTAGCAAGACTGCAAAGAAACAAAGCAGCTCCTCTAAAGTTTCAGCTTTCTAGCTTTTCTCGTTCCTGAGTTAGCAGTTTTCCTACCAAAACTTTCACGTGTCCGTGTGTGGGACGTAGACTTACGTGACAGTTGATATCATTTTCCTGGAGTCGTAATTGGCTGGGGAAAACATTTGCAAAATTTCACTTTCAAAGCTTGCGTGAATGCTGCGTACAAACACTCAGACAGACGAACTCACACATGCACACACTCGCAAACACATACACATTCATGCAGACACGGTCGTCGCAATATGGGTTTTTGCTGCCTGCTGTAGCATTCTAGCGCTACACGGCAAAAACGCATAAGAAGGCATCAAACTTCAAAAAACAACAACCTCTTCACGTCTCCAATGAGGCGGGGTTCGACTTCCATCGTGATCGCTACCGTCTGGTGTACGAAAACGAAGTGCGCCACGTCCCTAAACAAAATTTTATGTATTTTGTCAAAAACTAGGTTGAAATTTCGCTTGTTTCAAAACTGGTCCTTAGCAAATACAAGTATTTAAATTGCGAAAGTTTTAAAAAATGTTAACCACTAAAATTTTCATCCAACAATTATCAAAAAACTTTTCGATGTACTCAAACACACTGATCGATTTCAGGAAATCATCGCTGACAGAACCTTATCACCCCTCTAATACCAGGGAGATCCGCCTCGTAAAAACGGTAGAATATAAGGGAAGAAAAACTATTTGACGTATGACAAATTCCTTCGCAAAAATGCTTCAGAATAAAATGCAAAAATTCCAAAATCTACTGAACCTAAACCGAGAAAAAACCGCAAATCGCTGCTGCTTAACGTATCAGGCGTAAAAAAAAATCCAAGTATGCGAAATCGTAATGCAAGAGAACCTTGATTTTATGCCCAGTTCTTGTTCTTCGAGTAGGAGGATCCCGACGATGGCCATAATCACGCCGTGAAAAACGCTGCGCCGATGTCTGCGTATCTCCTTTTCTCTCCTTTTTCCTTTTCTTTTTCTTTGCATCTTCTGGTGTTTTCGAACTGAAAACAGCGCCAAACGGTGCCAAAATATAATTGAATTCGAGAAATTACGTCTGCTAGCAATAAAAATAAAAAAGATTTTGTAGCATAAGTATTCCAGATGCTCAATGACCCTGATACATATTGGGAGCAAAATCCGAAACTACAAGAAACCAGGTACTTTCAGAATAAGGACAATGGTGAATTATTTCGCTTTACGAAAAAAAAACCGAATAAAACAGAAAATTACAAAAATACACAGTCAGCAAACCTCAAAACAGCAAAAAATCTCAAGAGAAGTTGCCAAACTACACAGCTGAATCGGTTCATAAATTTGCAGCTGATATGTTTCAGAAAAGCTAATCCAAGCACTATTAACATTACCATCAGAAAAGAACCTGCGCAAGCTGCACCGCAAAGGAACTACAGGAACAGTATTCAAGCATCACAATCCCAAAATAACTGGCCAGTTTGTCGACTGCCGATGCAAAGATGCGTTTTTTGCATAGTTCCCCACAGGTTTTTATTGCTAACGGCACTGTTTTCTCCGGCAAATGCCTTCAGCTAAAAGAATTGAAACTGCCTACCACGATTATGAGGAAACATTCTCATAAAATTTCAACCTTCTATTTTTTCTGGTCTCCGAATTAGCAATCTATACGCAAAAAATTTTTACCAGCCCGCACGTGAGGGTCACGTACACCTGGCTGCTGGGCTTGAATTCATTAATTCCTACGTGGACGAGGGACAAACCTCAAAATTTCAGCTTTCAAGCTTCGGTTCCCGAGTTAGTAAGTCACATGCGGAAAATTTTCACGGGCCCTTACGTATAAACCACGCTTATCTGGGGGCTGGGTTTGGACTCACTAAATCCTACGTGAACGGACAACATCCCCCCAAACTTAAACATTAAATTTGAAAAATATGAATTAATACCGTCTCATCAAATACTGGTTGTGATGTTCCGGTTCTTCGGGAAGATCCTCCGGTTTTACACTGGATACTTCCGCTTCCGGAATAGCGCCGATCTCGAGGTGTTCAACTTCGTCA